AGCAGTAAAATTGACCTTGTTCCGGGGAAATGATCACTCTCATCGAGAAACTAACGTATTTAAAAGATGAGCTGCCCATGGCTTACCTGGACAGAGATATTCGATTTTTCAGTAAGCTTTCTCTGCAGGACCTTACTTTCGAAGCAAAATCAAATTTTTGAATTTCGACCTGAAACTTTGTAAACATGAAAACCTCAATGAGGCTAGCACATAAAACAAATTTCAGCATTTTTGAACAATCTTTCATTGAGATATGAAATTCTCAAGATATGCAACTTCTATAGAAAAACGCCAATATTTTCAGAGATGGACATCTCGAAGAGGATTTGTCGAAAAATGCTGAAATTTTTTCTGTGAACTAGTCTCATTGAGGTTTTCATGTTTACAAAGTTTCAGATCGAAATTCAAAAGTTTGATTTTGCTTCGAAAGTAAGGTCCTGCAGAGAAAGCTTACTGAAAAATCGAATATCTCTGTCCAGGTAAGCCATGGGCAGCTCATCTTATAAATACGTTAGTTTCTCGATGAGAGTGATCATTTCCCCGGAACAAGGTCAATTTTACTGCTTAACAGTTCCCAACCTTCCATTGTTAGTATTAAATATTGCTGTCGAAGATGAGCGTTAGATTTGCCGACTTGTTTTTACTCAAACAGAACTCTTGATTTAACGAATGTTGAAGAATCTTTTGTTAATATTATATTGATTATAATTTACTAATTCTAATATTGTCTCTATTGATAAACTGCTTTTCAGCTTTCGTGAATCAATGTGGTTATGATTATCAAATGGAACTTTGTCGCATATAAGTGAGTGTGGCCTTTATTTTTGTTTTTTTTATTTGTTTTTTTTTCATATGAAAATTGATTTCTGCCGCGAAATATCTTCAAAAAGAAAGTATTATTCTCTTTATTAATTAGTAATTTTTTATTTAGATTTCGGGAGCAACGCCTTCAAAGCAAATGATTGGTCTCTTCAATGGAATTTACTTGTTCTCTTTAAACCAAATTTAACAACGTGCTCAAACACGAATATTTCTTTAAGTAAGTGAAGCTCTTCTGTAGTTTTATAGACGAACGTGAAAATACACCAGAAACAGAATTCTTGAGTAACTATGTCGTTGAATAGTGCTATATTGATACTACCAAACATGCAAGATCTCATAAAGGTTTATATGAACATTATAACATTACGGAAGAAATCATACAATGATCTCCCTGTACCATTTCAGGAGGCTTTTTTTGACTTTTCAGTAGACTCAGTAGATCGTCCTGAACATTTTTTACTTTTACAGAGAATCATACATTCATGTCTGATTAAGTCTTGATAAAATCCTAGAAGTTCATTAATGAGTTTTCAACTTGCTTTGTTTTCCTGTGAATTAATTATTCTCTGTCTAAAGTACCTAATCCAAGTAATTCAATCAGAAGATTTCGCTGAATCCACTGTAAATTCCTTTTTTTTGACTTGCTAAATTTTGATATACCGATAGAAATGTCTCTTGCTTTTCTAGCTTCACTCCTCTTTAAATAAGTTTAAATCCGATTTCTCATATTTCCAAATTTGGAGGCGATTAGTTACAAAACTTCAAATGAATATATAATAACAAACAAGCTTTTCTTTCAAATGTCGATAAATCCAGCAATCTCTCATTCGTCACTGCATATGCCCATCATTGATGACGAAAAGAATTTCTCTTTGCAGTCATTCGTCGAGCTCTGAAAGCAGCTGATGCTACTCTTGAGTTACTCTACACACTACCGGGCAGCTTAATAATCACAATTGAGGTCCATCGTCCCTCTCATATAGCTTCTCATAAACCCTTGGGTCAGTTGAAGAGGTCTATCATCTCTCTCATATACCTTTTCCTAAACCGTTTTGACCATTCATAATCCCCATGAACGTTTCCAAGTGCATAGTCTGAGCTCGCACTTTGGGTATATAATTTTCATCAACCCTTTTTTAGCGGGTTTTTGAAGATTTCATGAGCACGCTTATCATTCTCATCAACCCTTTTAAGGGGTTTATGAAAGTGCAACGTGTAGCAAACCCTTTAAGGATTTATGAAATTTATAATCACTTTCATCAAACCTTCATGGTCAGTTTTTGCAACTCATAAACCATATATTCATCCCTTTTTTTTAGGGTTTATGAAAGGGTTTATAACGCCTTAATCAACCCTTGAAAAGGGTTTGTGATACGTTGCACTTTCATAAACCCTTTTTTCGTTTTTTATTCTACGGATATTTTTTACAGTGTATGATTTCACGAAAGGTGAAGATCATAGCAATCGATACCAAAAGAACTGTCGAGTAATTTTTCACAATTGAATGTATAATTTGAAAACATATCCGTGAGGCGTTCATTAATCTCACATTTTGAAAGAAAGAGTCCATAAGAAGTCGAAGATTTAACAGAGATCATGTTGTTTTGAAAGGTTTTTGACGGACAGGAATCACGAGGGGAGCGCTTAGACAAGAATTTTGTATAGCGCAAACATCAACTCTCTTACAGAATCTAATAGTGAGAAATCTATATGTATTTTAAACGTATGTAATGATTAGTTTTTCATGCACCTGATTATAATGATGGATCCAAATAATTAACTAATGTGAACTCATCACTTTTTTTTATTGGTGAAGCTAAAGGATGTAGATTGATAATAAAAATCTCAAAGCAAATACGTACATCTTCCCTCAGACTCAACACTGGAAAATAATATTTCTATGATGATAGCACCTTCAGAAACAATTTGAACTTCTTTGGAACCAAATATTAATTTTCATGCGCCTTTCGCCAAACTTTGTAAAAAGCTTTCGTTCACAATGTGCATGAAATTTAACGAAATCAAACGTCACTGTTTGCTCAGTTTCTATGCAAGTCGGATGTGGATTATGCAGACTGACTGTTGTATCATAATGTGGATCGGTTGAAATTTGAATATGTTTCTGGTGATGTGGTATGTACTGGCGTTGCAGCAGTCATAAAAACGTTTATCAGAATATATAGTATCGTCCTCGGATATATAGGAAATATATAGGACTCTAGTTTCTTCGTCAAAAAGCATTGAGACACCTTACAAGTATTACTATAGCATCGCAGATGATAATGGTTTTTTTTACATATAAACACTGATATGAATATTAATATCATTGAAGTTTATAAAGAATTAGAGACCAGTAGTTTCTGCAGAAATAACTGACGTTAGTTATTTTATATCATGAGTAATTTTGGTTGATAGCATGAGAAAAACTGGAGATCTTTCGATTCTTCCATTATTTACCTATTGTCGTCATAATCGAAATTAGCTTTGTTTTATTGACAAGCTCACGAAATTAGTAATTAAGTGGAATTATGATCTCAATCTATGAGGTCATATTAAGGTACTAGACATGTTTCTAAACAGACAAGTTCATTTGTACACCGAATATATTATTGAGATCACATAAGTTACAAAGTCACTTCTATCAAAATGCAAACATTTTTCCAAATCCTTTTGACCCCATTGAGTATCGGCCAAGGTTATAGAGTATACATGATTACTCTAGGACGTTGAGTGAATAATTTAAAACTGTTTTGTAAACTAAATTAGAGATCCCTGATTTGTTGCAAAAAAGAATGAATTTTTGATCAACTATATTCTGACTGCATTGATGAAAGAACTGCTCGGATTATAGCAAATATTTACAAATCGAAGAAAGATAAAACCACAGACTTCCAAAATCATAACACAAAAGATAATAAGCTTCTTTAGTTGGAAGTTCAAAGGAGGTGTTAGGGCGTAACCAAAACAGCAAAATATTTTTATCCTAGATGTCTACAAAAGCGAAAAACTTGATTCGCTCCATGTGTCCTCACAATCGAAGACAATTTTTCTCCAGATTCGAAGAGAACTACAACTAAGTACAGTTAAATTGAAAAAAAAATAAAGTTATTTCGACTGTTGGAAAATCGATCGATTATCGAAAATGTTTAATAAGGTGAGAGAAAATTCAAAACTTCAAGAGTTTTTATCTTATACCACATGACTTATTCACTATAGTAAAACGGGCATTTTTTTCCTAGTTAGGATTATATTATTGCATTTGATGCTTCCAAATTAGATGCTTTCACTAATCGATTCTGTTACTAATAGACTTTCTCGTGTGATACTAGCAGATTAGCAAAGCTTTCTAGAGAGTTCTCTTCATACTGTCCATGTCATGTTTCTAACACTACCATTTGTGAGAGATATTTCCTTTGTTTTTTGTTTTCTTGTAGTTAATATTCCTGCTAATGCCACATGGATACAGAACGGAATGACTGTTGCTGGAAGTAACGGGAAAGGCATTGGTACTAATCAAGTCAACGAGCCTTATGGTCTCTTCCTTGATGATCAGCAAACAGTAGTTATTGCTGATCAAATGAATCATCGTATCACCCAATGGAAGAACGATAATAAAAATAATGAACAAGTTATTGCTGGTGACAATGGCGACAGAAGTGCATTGAATCAATTGAATCAACCAACCGATGTATTAATTGGCAAAGAGACGGATAGTCTCATTATTTGTGATCACGGGAATCGGCGAGTTGTACAATGGTCTTGTCGTAGTGGTACAGCACAAGGAGAAATATTCGTCGACAGCATCGATTGTTGGGGATTGGCTATGGATGAGCAGAGATATCTCTACGTCTCTGACGTTGGAAAAGAGTCAGTAAGGCGATATTAAATGGGTGAGAAGAATGACACTGTCGTGGCTGGCGGAAATGAAAACGGTGCTAGTCTCAATCAACTCAACCGGCCGACTTATCTCTCTGTCGATCGACAACAGAATGTCTACGTATCAGATCACCACAATCATCGTATAATGAAATGAACTAAAGGTGCAAAAGAAGGCATTGTGGTCGCTGGAGATCAAGGCACAGGGACTGCTCTGACACAATTGTCGTATCCTTATGGACTCTTCAACGATACGTTGTATACTCTCTATGTAGCAGACTCATGGAATCATCGTGTAATACGTTGGATTCAGGGAGTTAAACAAGGTACTGTAATTGTGGGTGGAAATGGCGCGGGAGCAGGAGCAAATCAGTTCAGTGTCCCAGTTGCTTTGTCTTTCGATCGACATGGTAATCTCTATGTCGTTGATCATGATAATAATCGTATTCAACGATTTTCTATCGAATAGATTTGTGAGTTGTTTTCTTTGTTCGTTTCTTTTTCTACTTTGAAATAATTGAAAAAAATTTCGTTGCTTTTTTTATTATTCTTTAAGTGAGACAGTTCACACTCTCAAGATGATATTGATTGATTCAAATTCATTGTGATGAACTAAAACGAAACAAAAAATTATTTGAATTTAAAGAATTAATGAAGCAAAAAGAAAAAACGTTAACTTTTGTTCATTGGTTTGATTCAAATTGAATTGAAAAAAGAACAAGAAAATTTTTATTACTATTAATATTCGGGCGCGCGTGTGTTCATCAAATCCAAGCGTAGATTTCATATAGTGCATATACTTAACTCTATGCAGCTAATGAACTTTAGTGCTGGCAATTTCCTGTGCTGTGGATGAGTTTTTCGTGATTTATATAGATTCACTCAATTTACATGAATGATCTAGTAAATGATGAAACTAATCGTAAATCATTGACTTTCCCCCAAAATATTTCTTCTCAAAGTATCTGAATCTATTGAATCTTTTATTAAAATAATATTAATTTTCGTTGTGTTATACGAAATATATACTTTACAGACCAATGCTAATTATAATCGATATATGATGTAAATAGTCATCGAAATCACAAAAATAATCTTGATAGCGATTTCAGTTATTCATTGTAGAAATAATTTTTAAATTTCTCAAATATAAAAACACCTTTTATCTGCAGTACAGTCAATAGACGAAGAAGAAATCGTTATGTTCTGTTTGGAATTAAATAATACATATGATTTATCATCAGTCACCATTGCGAAAAACAAGTCTTAAAAAAAATCAATGATCCAAAATCATAATCAACATGAAAATAAATCTCATAAAGCCTAAGTCTTTTTAATAGACTATCTAGTTGATACTAATTATTTATCGAAAAAATTCTCGAAGGCCTCATTACAAGTCAAAAGATTTCATCGGTCTTGTTTCAAACTATGAATTATCACGAGTCTATGGATCAGACGTAGTATTTTGCATGATTCTCAGCTATATCCTTTCAGTAGACGGTTATGTTGCATTACTTGTAAGAATAATCTCTTTTGGTTTTGAAAATGCTTCTAATCATTACATTGTGTCAATACTTAAAAAGCTTCTTGTCTCTAGTCCCACGAACAAAATTCGAATTTCAAGAGCTAACTATGTGGTACATCGAATAGACTTTCAAGTGGTAAAAAAACGTTAGCTCAGATAAACTTTATTTTCGTCGTTATATCCATTGACACTTGTTATATGTTGTTTCGTATCAATAAATAGCTACATAATTTCACTTACATTTTTTCATCAAACGTGAATCATATATATTTATTTATTTTGTGTTAGTGATAATTATAAAAGATATGTATTTATTTGTATTAAAAATTAAAAAAGAAAAAAAAACTCGTCTACGGTAAAAAAAGAAAAGGTCAAATCAATGCTAAAAAAAGAAGAATGAAGAGGAATGTCACAGAGAAAAAACTTAAATAATACCAGGAATAAATGCATATGGTACTCGATCACAATAAGTTTTCCAATCTTTACTATATTTTGCTTTACATCGNATTGCCATGACCTGATCGAAGATGATGACCACCAGCCGATTGAGAATGATTGCCATGACCAGATGGAAGATGATCCACACCAGCCGTAGCAAGGCTAAAACATATCTAAAAACAAGAAAGATATATATATATATATACTTGCTGATGGAAACATGAATCAACTTACAAATGTTGTTACGATGACGAGCTTTTGCATGCTTGTGCAGTAAATTATTATGTGCTACACATTTCATTTCCGCTCCTTTATTTATAGATGGCAAAGAAGTAGGTTGAGAAGAAAAGAAGAAAAAGAATGTACTTTTTTGTTCGATGAATGGAGTCAACAAGAATTGAAATAGTGATGACGTATGTACACGAAAAGCGATATTATTTCGTCACTGTGGCACACCATTATTGTCTTGAGTGCAATATATTAGTCAAAAAGTACAATCATCTGAAGAATATTTTTATGTCATGCTCTGTTAGGCTCTAATATGTATAAAACGAAAGAGATAAGCAGTCCCACTAATGTTATATGACAGAACGATGAAAAAGATGAGGCAATCAAACCCATACCTCCTGCTGCCTGGGGAGTTGTCCTAAGCCAATTAGACTAGAAGGCGGAACTTAATCATCGTTTAGCGTTAGTGTGATCCAACACTAACTCTAACGTGCTCCATTAAAAGAAAATCATTCTAATGACTATCTAATTCATGCGTCTCAAAAATACTAATTCAAAACGAAACGTCGAAATTATCATTTCTATTTCTCTTTATCAATATTATTCACATGATTTCTCTTCAATAATGAAACGAACGGTCAACAGTATTTATTAAAATTGTAGAGTAAAATAAAAAATCAATAAATTGAAAAACAATTTATCTGTATTGACATTAATTGTTGTGCTTGGACTGTTTTTTATTTTTTAATTTCGACCACAAGATGTTTGTTTTAGTTAGTAGGGCACTCATTTTAACTGCGTTATGCACTTTAAGTATAAAAATTTTATTTATAAGAGATGATTAGAAAATGTCGCACATTAGCCCACTACATTATTCATCTATGATAGATGCATACGCCTTTAATAATGACGCTGGCAGCAGATACTGGTAATAGTCGAACACTGATGAAATGATTTATTCTCAAGTTGGTGCATCTATCCTTTGTTTTCTTTAGGAAAGTGTTTTTTTTTCTAACTGTCTCGATAGGGGAAGATCTATTTCTGTATATAAAAATTTCTCTATTCCGTTGTAATTATATAAATATAAAAATTGATAAAAACGGATTTTCATGGAAATTTTAAGTATAATTTATTTGAAATAAATCCGTAATAGTCAGAACTTTTGCTTCAACATGGATTCGTTGCTCATTACTTGAATAAAATAATACATTTTGTTCAAACTTATACCTTGTTAGTCAGTGAGAAACACTTGATATTATTTAATAAGTAAACAAGTCATCATTTTATATATAAGAATTAAATTTGTTCCATTTTTCAGTCTCATTAAAAGCTGTTCAGTTAAATTCATAATCAGACTGTTACAAGAGATGTGCTGCATTAAAACTATACCTTAATTCATTGTTGATATACATCCCAGGCCGATGATTTCGGGCTCTGGAACCGACCGGAAAACTATCCGGAAGGTGGAAGCAGTATTCCGCACTATTCCCGCAATCATAACCATTGGGAAAAATTCCCAGAACCGACCCGTGATCACAAGGAATACAAACGGAACACGCGACGGAACTAACGAAATCCGACCGATTCCAGCTAGGAAAATTCCGGAAGTTCCAATCTTCCTGAGATCTTGACCAGATTTTCTGACACCGCTACACCTCCTCATCCTGGATAGTCGCACCCCCAGCAAAGCAAATTACCAGCTAGTTTCCCTAATGCCAATAACCTCACGCATTGCTTCACAATCATTCACTATATCATAGCAGTCGCGAAGATATCCCTAGCTCACTACTATTAACTTCAGGTATTTCGAAGCCTCTTTTCTGACAATCAATTACGACTGACGCTTAAAGGTCTTTTTAATTCATTACCTTCCATTTGAAGTATTCAAAAGCAGCATTCATTCACTTTTATCAAAAAGAATCCTTAAAGATCCTTTTCAGCCGATACCTCTTATTTGAGGTATTTCGAAGTGTCCTTCATTTTTTTGAAATAGAACGATTCTTAAAGGACTCTCTTAGTAAATTGCGACGAATGAGAGTTCGTAATGCTTGACATAAGTGGTTTTCATGAAGAAGGATCTTCAAGGATCCTTGTAGACAAAGTGCAAGAAATGGTCCTTTCAAATGTCTCAACTGGAAGGTAGAGACTGAGAAAGACCTTTAAGTGTCTTTGATGATTGAGTTGGAGGAGGGAGACTTCAAAATATCTGGAATAAGGGATATTGAACAAGAAGGATCTTTGATGATTCTTTTTGAAGAAATGCAATGTGTTGGACTTTAAAATATCTGAAATGGAAATGGTAGAATGGGGAAGATCTTTAGTGATCCTTCTGATTGAAACACAATAAAGGAGACTTAGAGAAAAAAGCTCAAATAACTGGTATGGACCCAGAAAGCTCTTCAGTGACCTTTCTAGATAGAAGTCAGTGAAGTGGACTTTCAAATACTTCAAATGAAAGATATTGACTTAGAAGTTTTTTTTCAGGCATTTCAATTTGAAACGGTATGAATGATATCGTTAAATATCTGAGGTACGAGTTATTATGCGAGGAAGAGCTTTCAATGATTCTACCGTTGAAGTGTTAGTAATTATGCTTTGCAATATCTGGTAGAAGTGTATTTGATAGGTATAGAATATTGAAATTGACGAATTGAGACTACTGTTTGCTGCTGAATAAATAATGGAGAACGAAAATTAGGATGAGAAAGTTGTAAAATTCGGGTGTTGAATCGTGTGACATATATGTAGCTTTTAGTGTAAAATACAATGGTGAATTGATAGTCAGCACAAGGTATCAGTTGAATTTATCTGCGTCACATTGTCTTTAATGAATTTACAACACTTAAGCATGAAATAGTTATGTTCGCCAATATTTTGCGCAGTTGTTACCTTGAGAGATCTTTTCTTTTGACTTAATGAGTGAGACTTTGAAATACCCTAATTATCGTTTAATCCGCCGGAAAGAACACTGAAATCATGTATCGAGAGTGGCAGCTGTTGAAGAGATAAGTGGGAATAATCTTGATGAAAATCTGTATGAAAATATATGTTTTCTTTCTTAAGTTGAGTTGCTTATATTGAGACCTTTCTGCTGAACAAATCTGAGATTGAGTAGCGAACACATGGAAGTAAGTGGATCCTGGTCGGACAGATTTAAGTGAACGAAAACGCAGCAGGACCACACTGAAATCGATCAAAAGCGAACCTGGTTACCTTTCTCAAAGATCTTTCTAACTTGATCCTAACTAATTAGACTTAAATATATTAATGAAGAGGAA